TACCCAAATAAACCCAAAGAAGATCAGCTCAAAATCAGGAGAAGCATCATGGAAAATCAACTCACATGGATGGGCATTAAGCATTGATTTGTAGGAAAGAAGTAGGAAACTTCCTTGTTGTATTCTTCCTTCATTGTTCTTGTATTTTTCCTTATTTGTTGTTGTATAAATACTTCAGCCATGAGCCATTGTAATATAACCAGATTATTGAATTAAAAGTCTTTGTTTTACTCTTTGAGTAATTCTTTAAAATAGTGTGATGCTATTTTAACCAAATTTCCTAATGAAATATCTCTAAAGTTGGCTACTTTTGAGTGCGTGTTAGGAGTCTAATTTTATACATTAGTAGTGATTGTTAATGTGTAAAAGAAGATAAAAGCCCTAAGTTAAGATAAGAGTGTGTCATATCTCTTAACACCAACTTGGTTTATCCCTTCACTTTATTTCTGCCCATTTCATTTCTCACCATTTCTTCTTCTTAAACTTATTTTCTTCTCTCATTAAAAACACCAAAAAGAACTCTTTCCCACACTCCATATTTCATCCCTTCAATTCCATCATCCATTTCCTTGCGCAAATCCGCCACAAAATAGCTACTCGATAAGACCCCGGGTCTCGGGTACAACAAATGGAAATTTTATTATTTTATATAAATATATAAAAAGTATTATACTTGACATAATTTGTGTTGCAAGCTTGTAATTATAACTAAGTATTCAATATGAATAACAATAATAGTGTAAAAAAATTCTGATTTAACAACAAAACAACAAAATTTTGATTCGAAAAGGTGAAAAAAATTTAAGAAAATATTACTCTTCTGAAATAGCGAAAATTGAGAGGTGTGAGATTGGAGGAGTCTATAGGTCTTCAACTCCCCCAAACTCACCACCACCCCGATTCCCCAACCAAAGACACAACACTCCCTTACTTTCCTCAAAACCCCTCCAACCCAACAAAGGCTAAGAGACGTGTCTCTGCTAACATATAAGAGACAATTCATGTTAACTGAGAGATTACTCGTTGTCTATCAATTTGGGATCTTCTCAATGATAATGTGCCAAATGGTTTTAACACTTTTGCTGCTTGTGGGTCCTGCATAAACTACGAGTACACATTAATGAGCCGCGGCATAGTGCATCTACTACCCAAACCGTGGCACAAAGCACAGAAGGAAGTTACATGCCTTTTACTTACCTGATGGCCATTCTCTGAAGGCTGCAATATAAAATAAAAGATCAGTAAAAAATAACCAAGAACAAACAAAATACAAGAATTTTTTTGTTTGCAGTGTCATGACCTGATTGCCTAGAGTAAAACGTCCTGACATTCTTTTAGATTGTGAATTCAATAATGTCTGTTTTCGATGAATATGGTCCTCAGTTTCTAAATCAGACAATTTCTCCACCCACCACCTTACTTGCACAATAAAATTGTGTAATATCTAAATGGATTTTTAAAGTGATGATTTGAAGAAAAAAATTACTTTTTTCGGTTTTCATAAAAAAAATAAATTACAGATACTTCCTCCAACTCAAATATCAATCACGCCCCTCACAATTAGGTCATGTCATTTTCGGTTAGAATTCTAAAGACTTGGAAAAAATTAGAGTTAGAAAAAGTTGGAAGTTAAATTTTCGAACCCAAAAGAACAAACTCTTAAAATAAGAGATTGATATTTGAGTTGGAAGAAGAACAAGTAATTTTTTTATATGAAAACTTAAAAAGGGATTTATTTTCCAAGTCATCAGTTTAAAAATTAATGTAGATATTACTGTAAAAATAGAGCAATTGTGGGAGTAATGGTGTAATTAATTGATTTTCGGAGTATTCTTGTAAAATCGGAATTTTTTTGGAGTATTGCGTTTTCCTTCAAATAATTAGCAAAAGGAGTTTGAGGAGAACTCAACTACATCTATTTATTCTTTAGTCTTTTATCAAATTTTCGTATAACTCATTCATCACTCATATTATTTGCATGCCATAGCTCATAACCCACACTTCCACCATAGAAAGCTCCAAACAACTTCACCCTTTAACCTAATGACCACGGACACAATCTCAATCCCCAGGCTCATAAAGATCTGGTGTTAGAGACTTAGAGCCCATCGTAATGGGTGACCCCTACCGATCC